CCCAGCCCGTCGGCTGCCACCGGTGATGCCGCCAGCTCTGCCACGTCCCCCCGACCAGCAAACGCATCCCTTTAATTCGGCGTGAAGGGAACAAGCAGATCTGTCCTCTCTCCTCCGCCCCGCCACAACCCCCTGCCTACGGCTGTCTTGGACCAGTTGTTCTCTCCTTGGGCAGACCAGACAGCCCAGGCGCTGACCTTCTCACCGGTCCTCTACGAGCTGTAGTTTCCCCCTTTTCCGACTCATCCCCAACACAACCTGCTCCTTTTAAGAAACAAAACCTCTCCTGACACTGCCAGGGCTATCTGCAGCCTGGGAACTGCTCCTTGCTGCCCCAGTGAAAACCTTAGTCCAGCTAATAAGGTCCTCACGCCACCGACACGGCTGGGAAGCCCCTCTCTGCCTCCAGCCCCCCCAAAAAGCCCCTTTCCTCCCTGGGGCCTCACAGCGCTCTCTGGAGACAGAGCTCTATGGCTCTATTTATTTGGACTAACTCATCTTTTGCTCTCCCCTCCCCAGTTTACAAATCAGGATGTAAGGGTGAGTTTTGGCTCTCTGGGTATGGACTTTGCTGCATTGTGTACAACCAATCCCCCCCGCCCCTCCCGAAGTTTAGTGCTCTGAATTGCTGAGAACATTGGTCCGCTCTGGTTCCCCCGCGCGTACTGAGCCCGCCCGATGGCTTTCAGCATCTGTAGGCACTGCTGCCGGTTTGTTTTCTCGAGGAAAAAAAAAAAATCATATACTGGTCTGCTATAAATTCAACAATACAATCCTTAGTTCTGAAGATATAGTTTCCGTAGAGTTTATAAACATTATAAGACATACATATGGATAACTGAGGGGAAAGAGGGAGCCTGTGCATTTGTTGGAGTTGTTTTCTGTTTTCAGATGTGTGAACATGGTTACAAAAAACCGCACCTCCTGCGGGTACCTCATCTCTTTAAGTGTTAGATTTGTCGTTGTTTGTTATTCGTTTTTTAATTCCACCTCTAATCAGTCTTTCCTTTGGTTGTTGGCTACTCCAAGCCCAGCAGGCAAGCCCTGTTCTGCTGTAATGCCTGAGATATTCAGGGGTTTGAGATTGTCTTCTAAGAGATTCCCAGCCAACTTTGGCCTCTGGGTTTGGAGCCAAAAGGGCTAAAACGTGGGAGAACCAATGTCCTTACCACATCGGTATCGGTGTCCTTGCACTCACCTTCAGAGAATCAGTGTAGGCTTAATCGGTGATGGTTTTTACAGCAATTACGCTCCTTTCGGTAATCGGAGGGGTCGTTCAGAGCGCTCTCGAGGGGACGGGATTGCACAAGAGCACGGATACGGTCCGTTTGTCCGGTTGTGGTCACCGGTGAATTGGCTACCGTCCCTGTTATCTGCTTTTTGTAAGGTTGGCTTTTTGTCGTTGTTGCTGTTGTTGTAGGTGCTCGGTTAGGCTGTTTGTGACGAGGTGTGATAATGCCTTTTAATCCGCTCCCGCTGCGTTCGGCACAGTCCGCGTTGGCAGCCCCGGCTGGGCACGGAGAGACCGTCAGAAGCCGGGACAACGTTCTTCCCTTCGCCGGGCCAACGCTAGCCACGTACAAAAAAAGAAGAAGAAAAGAAACTCTGGTCCTTTGTAGATTGGTGGCAGTACAGATTCGCTCCGTCTGTAGCCGGGAGGGGAGCTCAGCGTATGACGGCCG